TCTCATCGCTTCCCCATCGCCGACGAGCGCGGGGCATTGCTGTTCCGCGGCGGGGCATGCCTGTTCTCTGTCTGCTAATGGGATACTCGTTACTTCCCGTGGAAGGATCTTAAGGGGGTCAGACGGCCTGCGACTCGCTTGAAGTCAAGACAATCTGAACGTCTTGGCTTGACTTTTGCGATCAATATTATGTTCCAGTCCAAGTCCTTCAATGTGCCGCGAAACCCTTTGTGGCGCTTGGAGCCCAGCAAAAGCCCGTGAGAACCCGGGCTAAAATCACGCGTCCGTCCGAGCTGGTGACTGAGCTTGCGCTGAGTTCAGCCAACCCTTCCGCCTGAAGAGCTCTTTCTTGTAGTAGAAGTCTGTGAACAGCAACGGGAGCTGGCTCTCAAAGTATCACTCAAAAAAGTTTTCTCACTTTCTTGAACGTTGAGGCTCGTGGATCGCTTTTGGTGGCTCTCCTCAAAGAATTAGGGCAGACCTGTGGTGGCTGGCACAGCACCTCAAGTGAGCCCAGCACCAGGAGGTGAGGAAGGTAGCACAGTTTCTCCATGGGTGCTGTGCCAGCTTTGGAATATTATTGCTCCAAAGAAAGAGACACCCTACGTACTCTTATCTTTGCATGGGGTTGGCACACCCGGCAGTAAACCATTCAGTAATTTTTGCTGAAACCTTGAGAATTGCTAAATTAAATACCAGCTTCTAAAGGAAATCTGGAATTTGTCCAGGAGAAGAATCCTCTGCCCTTTATAGAGCCTGTACGTTTGAAAGCCAGAGAAGCCCGGTGTGATTTCTAACATTGTACAACCAAAGAAAGGTACCTGATGACAGCTTCATCAAGCACAAAATGTCTCTTCAAGGTAAAACACGTCTTGTAGAGACAGTCTTGACTTGAGGTTTCGAGCAATGGAGAATCCACCATATCCCTGGCTGAGTTATTTTAACAGCTAGTAAGGCTGTAGGCAGATATTTGCATCTGGGGCAAGGGGAGATGTTGAGGATGCCACTGCCTCCTGCCTTCCGTCCCTTCCTCACTGGCACTTCCCAACCCAATGATCTTGTTGATCCTGTGAGTGTTCCTTAATCAGCTTTGGGCAAAACCTGCCAGGTTCTGGTTAAATAAGCAGAACTGGCTCAGCCGACTTCTGCCTGAAGCGGGGTAGGGAGCACACGCAGACTGGTGCTCCACCAGACGTGGGGTTGTCACTTCTGGTTAATGGGTTGTGACAACGACCCAGGAGTAGCAACTTTAGCTGGTACGGCTGCCTGCAGCGTTGAGCTCTATCTGCAGTTTGAGAGTGGGGTTCCTGACTAGCCGTTATCTTCCATCCTGCCCCTCGCTTCAGCTGCTCTTAATGCTTGTGGAGATTTGGGATTAATTGAACCTGCAGGAGTTGTGAGCCCGGAGCGGGACAGGCTGGTTGTGATGCTGCAACTGCGCTCTTACGATGGGCTAATGTCAGAGCATCTTCCTCACTCAGGCATGACCTCATGCGTATTTAACTGCTGCCTGCTTCTCCTTGGCCACAGCAGCTTTGGGAAAGCTGCTGAAGAGGCCTCAATCAGGGAGAAGTTGCTCTCGTTTAAATGGTCTCACAAAACCACTGCTTTTACGCTGCAAAATGTGTAAAACAATGTAAATGCTGCCTGTGACCAGGGTGACATGCAGAGGTGATGCTGCGGTGTGAGCTAGGCAGGGTTTTGGCCACGGAGTGCAGAGCTGATGGCTGTATAAATATGGAACAAATATGGTAGCAGAGAAAGGAACGCAGTGTATTTTAGTCTGTGGGGACAAATAGCAAAGCCTGGCAGCTGCGTTTGCGTCGTTTGAGATACTTCTGAGGAGAGATGAGATCTGTTTGCACCACAGCTGCTCTTTTCCCTTTCCCGTGGGTAGAAAGAATCATTCAGCAGATTCTGTTTCTCTCCCTCTTTTTCATGTGAAAGCGGCAAACCCAAGTCTCCAGAGAACTTGTACAACCATTTCTTAATTCATCATGTTTCCTATTACGTGGCTGTGAAAAGCAAATCTCCGTCTCTCACCACGGGGCCTTGCAAAGCCCAGGCAAAGATAAGGGCAATGCCTCAGCAGGAGGTTTCATTTCCAGACAATGGCAAAAGCATCAGCGTGGTTTGGGATGCATAATTAATGGATCGCGTGTCTCGGGAATTGCTTGCACGTGATCGATCGTGCTGGGGCTGTATGTGGAAGCATGCGTGTGTATTATCTGTGTTTACCCAAGCTGATATCCACAGGAATTGTAGTGTCATAGACCTCCAGAGCACGTAGCTGCTTTACTCCTGGGCAGAGGCCTGACCGCTCTCTGCGCACGCTTGTTAGGACAGTGCTGTGAAACACAATCGTAAGTGGGTGCTGAAGTAATTAAAGTAGTAGATACTGTGTAAGGCTACAGAAATTAACGGTGATGTATTGTTGATTGTCTTTGTTTTCCTCCCTCTCTCCAGGTATTTCCCAGCCAAGATCCGCTGGACAGAGCAGATTTCAACGCTGTGGAGTATATTAATACTCTCTTTCCCACTGAGCAAGTAAGTAGTGCTCACAGTACGGCCCTCTCAGTGCGAGGGGTAACCTGATAGTAAGTGACTGAAGGCGTGTTTAAACCTGTACCCAAGCCTTTCCTTTTAAACAGTAGCACAAGTAGTAAGACTATAACAATAATCACTTCTTAAATTCGCATCTCATGAGGTTCACTGTCATTATGTAGTTTCTTTCCACCCAAAGTGCTTGCTGCGGTAAAAGTCCTGCTTTGATCTGTAGAAATAAATTAGTGTTCTATATAGAGGTTTCTCTTGCAGTAAATGTCATAATTTGCTGTCTATTAATCATTGGTAAATCCTCAGGGGTTTCAGCCAAATAAGGCAGGTATTGCCTGTGAAACGTCACTAGAGAGTCATCCGTGTTTGAAACCTATTGTTTCTTTTGAGATGTAAAGAACGCGATTGCCGTGGGCTCACATCTGTACTTTGTCTTCCCCCAAATCAGCCCCAGGGGCAGTTTTGGACTAAGCTATTGCAGAAAGGAGGTGTTTCTGCAGCTGAAGACTGGGTTGTGAGGCAGCTCCAACGTTTACCATGTTTAAGATTCTCTGCAGCACTGGCTTTTTTGGCTTTCAGCTGTTTCTAGTTAGTTTGCTGGCGGTGCTGGCTTGGCTTTTTTCCCCTTGCCGGTAGCGGAGAGCTGTTTCCCCTGCAGTACCCCCACTACAGCTCCGGCAGCAGCCAGGCCTCCTCCGCCCCATGTGCTGGGTGGGTGTCTGGGCTCTGCAGGAGGGTCTCTGCCAGGGAAGGCGAAGGCTCTGTCCCCATTGTCCACTGGAGGTCACTGTCACCACGACGTTTCGGGAGCAGTTCTGCTGACAAGGCAGAGCTCGGGGCACCCTGCTTGCTCAGGGCTGGGTGGGAAGCGGGGAGCCTCCGGGACCCGCAGGGCTGCACCCTGGCCTGCTCTCTCTTTTGCCACTCTTCATTACGTGACCTGAGGAGCAGCTAAGTTGCCGTGTGTCTCAGTTCCTCCATCTGTAAAACAAAGTCATTGCTCTCCTCTTTGTAAAGTGCCACGTGTGAGAAGGTGTTAGGTATCACAGCTGATGTGTATCGCAGTAAAAGGTTCCCCATTTTGCTTCTCTCTGTTTTTTTTCATGTTGTAGTCTTTGGCAAACATCGATGAAGTTGTGAACAAAATCAGACTGAAAATAAGGTAAATGTTTCTGCATTTCATTGCATCTCAGGTGGCGAGTAGTCTGGTTGTCACTGAGGCGTCATAGATACAGCCTTTGCACTATAGCCGATAGGAATTAATTTGCTTAAAAGGCATGAATGGGGTCAGTCTCAAGTCCAATAGTGGGACAGAGACACAAATGGCTCCCTGTAATTGTAATTCTTTTTTATACTTTGCCCCTGTTGTATAATATATGCCTTTCAGATTATTTTAGCTGATGGGTTGCAAAGCAGAGCTTTGAAAAAACAGTGAACTAAGAATCAACAAGTACCAATGATACCGAAATACTAAGGAGACATACTTACGGTAACACCAAATTTTAGTACAGTCTGAAGGCAGAGAGAACAAAGTACCCGGAAGATTTGGTTGCTGAAAAGTTATTCTGTTTGTGAGGTTAAAATAGCAATTGTAAAACCTCATTTTGTATTTTTTTTATTGTCATTGTTGGTACTAAAAGTACAAAATAAATATAAGTGTGCAGGAAATACGTAAATTTGCTGTGCAGTCTGGCATTACCGACCTGAAATGATTGAGACAGCACTTTAATATGTGGAAACTGGAAATGAAAACGGACAAGGGAAAACTGACAATATTGCTTAACGGAAGAGAAATGCAAGAAGCCCCAATTAAATTAGGAAATGGATTTTTATTTTTGCAACAGGAGTTTTAAATTATGTAAGATAGTGATGTCCTACAGAGAGGGAGGAAAAAAAAAGTAAGTTTAGCATTGGTAACACCAATTTTTAATTTAAATCTGATCTGTAGCTCAAGGTTCCCACAATTGTTTGGATCAGGCACGTAGAGAATGAGTTTGACATTACAGATTCTTTTCTCCAGGAGGTTGGATGACAACATTCGAACTGTAGTGAGAGGACAGACCAACGTGGGACAGGATGGCAGGCAGGTATGTGCATCTCATCTCTGGTAATGCCGAGGGTTCTTACCGTGAAATGCTAAATTGAGGAATGGCCCTGGCAGGCAGAAACCTGCTCTTATTGTTAGGGAGGTGTTTCTGCTGCCTCTTACAGTAATGACTTTGCGAGCTGCTCACTGAACATCTGTTCTAGCCTGCGTTCCGATCACCCTCCAAAGGGAAGTGAATGAGAAATTGATTTAAAAATCGGAAGCAAAACCAGGAGGCTTGCAGTTGTGTCACTCTGAAGCTAATGATAAAACGGACAGCATTAAATAGGTACAAGCAGATTTGCTACCGAGAAAGGATCAATAAAAGGCTATTTAGCCTTTTAACTAGGTTGTTTGCTGAAGTATCCTGAGTTGCTAGTGACTAAGCCTGATGACTGACTGCCAGTTCATCTTGCATGTCTTATTCAGCTATCAGGTTTTCACTTGTCTTTTGCTCGGAGTACAGTATTGAACAGCACGGCCATGGCTGCAGTGTTCGTGAACACTGAGCTTGGTCCTCGTGTTGTCTGATTTTGAGGTATCACCCAGTGCTGCTGTATTTCCTGGGTCTGTTCTGTTTTAGACCGGGAACGTTAATGCCTTGAATCGTCGGTCATGCTGCTTTCCTCAGTGTCAACACTGACTCATCTTTTTAGTACCAGATTTAAGACTAGTTTGCTGGGATGGGGTAGTCATTGCCTCACCAGCATGGCTGGCTGTATTTTCCACTTCTTGCTGCAGTAGCTGTTGGTGTATATTTCTAATCCTACCTCTGCCACAGAGTCCGTGGCCTTGAGTGAATTATTTAACTTACCTGTGCCTTTGTATTGCTTTCAAAAAAATGAGATGCTTACCTCTGCTAGCAGAACTAGTTTAATGCTTGCATGATTGCCTGAGTACTGCTAATAGGAGTTTAATAAACTGGGGATGTGCTTGGGATGTGGCATACCTAGGAGTGCTGCTGCCTGTGATCACTGTGCAGGGATGAGACAAGAAATCAAGTGGGGAGGCATTTACAGAAATTGAGGAGGGAGTGGAAACTAGTGCAGTACTTGGAGAGTTTGGGTATGACTGGAAAGCTGGTGCTGTTGTAGCCTTTTGGGCCCAGTCGAGGTGACAAATTCAGAGATGACCACAAAAAAGTGGGATTGAGAAGAGCTGTGGGTGAAAATTGCCCGGAGTGCCTCAGGACTTGCAGGTCCAAAGGATGAACGTGGTGAGAGATGAACAAAAGCAGTGCCGAGGTCAGCTGTGCTTGCAGGATAACAAAAGAGTCTCTGTGCTACGGAGATTCGGCAAGCTTTGTTTAGAGCTTTGCCTTATGTCTGTGCTTTCTCACTCTTTAATCCCTTTGAAGTTCTCCAAAGCATGTACAGACAGACTTGGACGGTATCCTGCTCTGAAGTACTGGGGAGGCAGATCTGCCTGTGCAGCCCGTCATTTAGTTTGGTTGTACAGGAACCAATTAAACTCCCGTCCAAGTAAAAACCTTCAAACGTGCATGTGTATGTGGCGTGTCTGTGCAGGGCATCTTTCAGGTGGCCTGGAGCTGCAGTTAATCGCAAATATTCCTGTATTTAGCTGTGAATTTTCCTGTTTTCCCTCACTTTGCTGCTTTGCAAGGTAGAAGCAGACTTTAAGACAGACACCAGAGCTTGCGGCTGCACAGACTGCATGGGCTAAGGCCAGACAGTCTCCCAGAAGCGTAACAGTTGTTTCTTACTTTAAGAGATCCTAACAAATACTGAAACGATTCAATTATAATAAGTGTTAGCTCTCTGGTAAGAAAAATTGTTTGAATCTGAAATGCTGTGAGCTTTTTCTTTCTGCGTGTCTAATCCAAGTCCACCATTTCACACGTGTACGTGCATTTCATATGTGAATTGCTGGAACCAGACTGTTAGAGTGGCAGGACTTGGCTGGGTCTTGAAGTTTAAAGCAGTAAAGGAGCATCAGCAAGCTCAGGCCTTGCATGTTAGCTGGCCAGAGGGACCCGCAGCGGAAGAGGTCAGCTTACAGTTCTGGGGAATGCTTGAATGGCATTTCAGTTTGAGATGGAATTTTGTATTTGTCTCCCCAGAACCAGACAGAGGAAACCTAGAAGAAACATTTGCTGTTCCTGTCACCCCCTGCGCTACTTTCTCTGAGTAGTTCATCCTGTGTGCTAGCTGGGGGAGTGAGGCAGGCTTTTTCACATGACCACCCTGTTGATACCCGATTGTGGGGGTGAAAACCTTGCTTTTCAGCTTCAGCCGCCTGTTCCTGTGCTGAAGGGTGCCTTTGTTTTACCAGCATATTCTCAGTGGAATCAAGGACACTTAGAAATGTCAAGTTTTTATAGAGCGAGAGGCCTGGCTTCTCCCACTTAGAGAGGAAGGGTTTCACTTTCCAGTGTATGGTAAGAAATTGTTTTGAAACAACTGAAAGCCAGGTGCCTTTGAGACAAGTCTGCTCTGCTAGGAAGGGAGTCAGTGCTACTGAAAGGGGCTTTTTTCCTTATTTACCTTTTCTGGTAGTAGTTTGGTCCCACAATAAAATTAGTTTCTTTCTTCTGCTGATCTTCTGTTCTTACTAAATTTGTAGGGAATTTGTACCCTCAAGACCAATATTTCCCTGCAAAATTTGATTGAAGCACACACATGGATAGATAGTCTTATCCTGTGAAGCCCAGGCTGAAGATCGTTATTGCATTTTATCATATTAACCACAACTGCAAACCGCCCTTGATTTAATCAAGAAACAGTTGGCAACCAGCTTTTGCAATAGGTTTGAAACAAAGCTTAAAACCAGCCACAGTGAAAAGTTTAATCTTCAGATACCTTTTCCCGTTTATAACTCTTTCTTACCATGTGAGTTGTCTATAGCCTGTAGTACGCAGTACTTGCAGCAGACGAGCTTTTGAAAAAGCCATTCCTGTCTTTTGACGTATTTCCATCCCTTGACACACTGAGAATGGTGCGATCCATCGTGTTCTTGAAAGTGCGTGCTGTAAATAAAAATGCATATGAATGCTGATGTCGCAGCTGCTTGAATTTCAGTGGGAGCTCAGGATCTTGTGTATTTATTGCAAGATTGGACCTGGAAGGTGTTTTGCAAAAAGCCTCTTATCTTCAGTCACATTCTCTCCTAACAAATCACGATGCAAACTGTAATCAGCATTTGCCAGAATTGCCTGACCGCGTGGTATCACAGCTAGAGGAGCCGTTCTTGTCTGGAGAGTAAATAATAGTTTTCATAAACATCCTTTCAATCTCTGACTTCCTTCCAAAGGAAACATAAACCTCAGATGCAGTGGTAGAAGAAAAAAAGTTCTTGTTTCAGTCAAAGCAAGCCAGGAGGGGTTTCCCTGCTGAGCCCCTGCTCTCAGTCGTCCGTGTTAGCTGTGCCCTGCCTGCCTCGGGTTTGGGTGGGGAGGCAGAGCTGCACACACGAGCGGTTGCCATCCCTGCTGCCCTTGCAGGTGAGGGAGCACCGTGTGCCCCGTGGGTGCAGAAGCTGATTCAGGAAGCTCGTCTTTGGCTTTTCCATCTCCCGTCAGCCTTAACTGCCAAACATGGGGTTGGGAATCTCGTGTAGGCTGTTGGTTCAAGTGCTGCCCAAATCACTGGGACCTGGGACCTGCCATCAACCTATCTAATCTCTTTTTTTGGTAGCATGTTTGGAGACCAGTGATACCAGGCAGGTTCCTAGAAGGCAAACTAAGGGTATTTAGCCTTTAACAGCTTGCTTTCTCTTTGGGGAAGGGGTCATTTACCAGCTGAGCCCAGCAGAGCAGCTTTCCCTGTCGCGTGGAGGAGCAGTGCTTCTTTCCTGAGCCTTGTTGAGAGCTGCGCCTTTGCAGCCATCCAGGAGAGGGGAGCCCAGTCTTGTTTTTGAGACCAGGGTTACATTTTGCTGATCACCGATGGTGAGGGAGTGCTGCCAGCAGAGACATGTCTAAATAGTGCTGCATGTTATTCTCCCAGTTAGAGCAATCCAAATCCCAGTCAAACCCAGTGGGGAATATGTGGTATGCAGCTATGGGAATGTGCTCTCCATGCTCCTTAAGCAAAAGGAGACCTTAGGGATAGCAAGTTCAAAATCCTAATTGCAGATCCAGCCACTGTACTCCCTTGTGATCGAGTCTCCTGTCCCGTCTGGCTGGTAATGTGACAGTGGTAATGATGGGGATAACACTTCAGTGCTCCACCTGGGTGCCGAGATGATTGAGCCGGGTCTTCGAGGTGAATTGTAGGTATGAGAAGTATGTAAGAGTAGGTTTTTATAGTCAGTCTTTAACTTTTAAACTGTTTCCCAAATAGTCTTGATCACATACACGTGTTCATATAAAATAGTATTTAGGTGTCTGAAAAAGCAGATTCTAAATCTAAAAATAAAGTCAATCAAACAGATGTGGCCCCAAAAGCGTTATTTAAGCAGCTCTAAAGACAGGAATGCTCCCTTCTCCATAAAGCGTAACATTTCCCAGTTCAAAGCATCTGCCTTTTTGAAATTTTGCCCTAGAATTTCCTCCAAATGCAGAAGCCTTAAAATAGTCTGGCTCATTTGGCTTCCCCTTCCTGGTGTGATATTTCAGTAAAATCTGTAGACAATACCATGAACTTCAGAAATTATCTCGCTAATGATCCTTTTATGGGAGGAAACAACAGTCGTGGGTGGAACATTCCTCTGCAGGGCGTAACAAAATTTTCCTTGGGAGTCCCAGACTTGTCTATTTCGGATGCCTTGGGAGAGGCTGGGAATGCAGGAGCTGCCGTGGTTCAGTTGTAACTATATGCGGTTCAAGCTGCGCCTGCAGTTTCTGGGGAGCCAGTGCTATCCGATTTTTCCTCTGTAAGGTTTTTCTCCGAGCTGCTGCTGAACTGGAGTCTGGGCTGACCTTGCGAAGAGCTGCAGTCCAGTTGTGGCATAATTTCCTCTCTGCCTTAGGGTATAGTAGAAAAAGTTCCCATAGATTTTTTCCACTGAGCGTTTAACACACTCCGTGAGTTTTTATTTGTC